CCGATAGGCGTCTGTGGATTCATCAAATAATACTTTGCAAAAAACAAACGGGCTAGCCGCAAACGTCCGTGCCGTATAGCGTGAATAACCCTGTAGAAAAGTTTGTTTGGAAGTGTTAAATAATGAGGTTTTTAGAAACAATTGTCGGGCGTTAAGCTTCAGCTTGAAATGAAATTTTTTGAAAGTGCCCGAAATAAGGACAGTGAAGGCTTTGCTTTGTATGATCTTCTAAGTTAATTGCTTAGAAATTTCGGAAAGTTGCTTCTATTTATAATTCCTGGCATTTCCATGCTCTTTACAATGTTTCCCTTTCAGCGTCACCAAGTGTTTCAAAGTTACTCATCAACTTTAACGGCCGTGATTCTTTATAAAATGTGCTGATTGATGGATATAGTATGAGGAAACTTCCAAAATACCGAAGGCACGTCATTTGATAAGGGTCAGTGCAACTCTTGGTGAAACTGATGGTGAAAAATGCTCCTGAAAATAATTTGGTAGCGCATTATGAATGTAATAAATTACTGTTAACTGATATTCTCAGTCTTCGAACAAACTAGCCCCTGTCAAATAATATACTTTCAATTTAAAATTATTTTTTATAAGAAAGGCGCATCGATAGTAGCCACCCATTAAATTTATTTTCGCTACACAGGGTGTTCCCAAAAATTCGTTACACCAATTTTTTTTTTTTTTTAATGGAACACCCGTTATCAATGTGGCGCAATCGGTTCTTTTAGAAATGAGGATAGTTTTCCTATAGGGTTTATTAGGTCTGCGGTAATAATTAGATAATTAGGTTAATAGATATAAACAATTTCGCAAAACTAAAGCACTTTTTGGTCGTTGTGAAACCGGTGGAAAAATTTGAGCTGTTGGGACAACTTAGTGATGTGAAGAATATAAACCGTGTGCGTCGCTCAAGAGCAACTGTGAATATTGCTATTGTAGCCCGTAGTGTTGAAGAATCCCCAGGTTTGTCGATTCCTAGCCGATCTTTGGAACTAGACATTCCACAAACGACTACACGTATTTTGCAGAAAGACTTAAGGCTTTTAAAGTTCAGTTAACACAAGAACTCAAGCCGGTTGATCACCATAAACGTCGTATCTTCGCTGATTGGGTCCTTCAAGCGGAAACTGATTTCCAGTGATTGTTGCGAAGCCCTTCCATCCTCAACGTGTCACTGTTTGGTGCAGTTTTTGGACCTTATTTTTTCGAAAGTGAGGCTGGTGCAACTGTGAATGGATTGCGGTACTGAGCTATGATTAGTTATTTTTTATAGCCGAAATTGGAAGATTGTTTTAGTGTTATTTTTCGAAAAGGTGATCACAATTGGTCACCGAGATCTTGTGATTTAGCACCTTTAGACTTTTTTATTTGGGGCCACGTGAAAGATAAGGTAAGGTCTATATCATTGCTCCACAATCCATTCAAGGCCTTAAAGATGGAATTTGTGAATGGCATACCTTCCTCTTTACAATGCAATAAACATTCATTGATATCTCTTAAAAAATACTCGTTTCTTTAATATCAAAATGAACCCTCTTATTGGAAATATACAAGTTCTTCGGATCGAGTGTTTTGCAAATTTCTCAGTTTTTAATAACAATTATTTTTTTAGACTATGTTTCCTGTACAGGGACAGTTTTCTAAGTGTCTCACCCAGATTACCACTTCCCTATTACTCTCCGGAAGAGTTTTAAAGTAGAATCTGTAATTTTATCAAGGACATTAGATCCAAGCTCAGAAATCTTGTCAGATGTCAAATTTGACAGTTTTGACGCCATCTTAATTTTTTAATGGTAACAAAAGAACATTTTTATACAATCGGATAGACTATTGAGAGCTGATTTCAGAAATATACCAGGTTAATAATAATAATAGGAAAAATACAATTTTTTTTATTTATTTTATTTTATATGTTACAATGTATATTCCGATTGAGTATGGAAAATTATTTCAGTCAAGTGGCCACCTCTGCTGGCTCGGCAGTACCTCATTCTGAAACATGAATTTTCGAGCGCTTTATTAACAGTTTGCTGGTCTATTTGAGTCATTTAAGCTTCAATAGGTCAATTGTTTGAGGATTGTCCGCATGAACTTTATCCTTCAAGTCGACCCTAAGAAAGTAGTCTAGTGGTGTTAAATCGCAGCTGCGCGGTGGCCAATTAACATCTCCAAAACGACTGTTCAACTTTGTGCGTAAAAGATTGATGGTGGCCTCGGCGGTGTGGGAAGTACCAGCGTCCTATTGAAACCAAACTTCATTGAGACCGATATTTTCCAATTATTGCCACAAAAATAATTTATCATATCTCGATATCGGTTGCCAATGACTAAAGGCCCGACCACCCTCATTCTCGGAAAAAAAGGCCCAATCACGCCACCATTCCAAAATCCACACCACACAGTGACTCGGTCTGGATGCATGGGCTTATCTAAGACGACGTGAGGATTTTCTGTGCTCCAAATTCTACAGTTTTGCTTGTTCACATAATCGCCAAGATATACATGCGTCTCATCCGAAAAAAAAAATTTTCTTGCAAAATCAGGATCATCAATCTCGTTTAAAATCAAATTGCTGCAATACTTGAACGAGCCGGACTTTGTTCGCATACAAGATCTTTGTTCAAAATCCTCCTTAAAGTGGTACGACTAATGTTCAGTTGTTTTGACGCCGAGTTGATGTTAGCGGGTTGCGACGTACACTTTCGCCCACAGCCTGCAACTGCTTCAAGTGTACGCACTTTATCAAAACAATTCTTAGTTCCTTGGTTTGACGGCGCTTCATTCCTTCCAAACTTTCTACGCAAATTTCGTGCGGTCTCGGTAACCACAGAGTCCCACTCAAAGAAAGGTTTGAGTATTTCAAAACGTTGATCCAAATTAAAACGATACATATTCTGACAGGGGAAATTTAAATCTAAGTAACTATCAACAATTCATGGCGCTCAAGTTGACAGCGTCCTTAATAGTTCGTAGTTTAAAATTCAACATGTAGATGGCCCACCCTTTATAAATATATGCACTTTGCGATGACGGT